CCCGCCGGAGACGAGGGCTCGCTGTCTGCTCGCCGCGAAAAGCTCCGGTACGGCGGCGGCGGTCTGGCTAGACCAGATCCTACCTCCGGAGACGAGGGCTCGCTGGATGCTCACCGCGAAAAACACCGGCGGCGAGGCGATGGCCTGGTTCGATGAGGTCTTCCCGCCGGAGACGAGGGTCGAGAAGATCTGCCAGTGGATCCAGGTGGCCAAGCCGTACCTCATCGCCGCCGTGGTCCTGTGGTTGGTTTTCCGCCTCTTTTCCGGCGGCGGCGGCGGAAAGACTATGAAAGCCCCCGGAAGAAACTATAGGATGCGTCGGAGTACTTTCGAGAGTAACCCCAAAGGTTACTTCTCCGATCTCCGTGGCGGCCGTTGAGGTGAACTTCCAATCGCAGGGTTTTTATGTTGGTTGTGCTCTATGCTTGTGGATTTGTACCTTGGGTGATTGTACGGATTTAATTTACAGTTGGTGTGGATGAAAGCTTTGTTTGCTGTGGAAAATGAAATCTCCTACTGCATTAGTGTGTTTGCATTAGCTCAATATAGTGTATGTTGAGCAGTTTTATAGTTCTAATTTTCATTTGCAAATTCTTCTATCATAAATTAGCTTACTTCACTGTTTTAGCTGTTTCGTTATGCCGAAAACTCATTCGACTAAAACCGAAAACCGACCGAGTCGGATAAAAACCGAACCCATAACATATAGAGTTCACAATGCAAAATCCACCAAATGTCACATTAGTTTTTGAAAATGAGGACACAATAGACTCTACATATCACCAATACATCATCTACTCAACTGAGCTTATTCTATGTCTGGCAAGACCAAAATACAGAAGTTCTTTACAGCGGTTGCAAAACGATTGGGATTCCATACCGAGGGCTAACTGTAAGAAACTGAAAAGGCGAATGCACGTAATCCTTGGACACTTTTAACTTATAGCGCTGCAAAATCATTGAGAGCGCGATCTTAGTTTCATTAACAGCAAAATTCGAGCCAACGCAAACACGAGGCCCGGCCCCAAACGGGATAAAAGCAAATGAATTCCCGTTTGTTGCTTTAGACAATCCATCGGCAAATCTTTCCGGGTTGAATTCCGCAGCGTCTTCTCCCCATAACTCGGGATTGGTGTGAAGTGAGAGTGGTGTGACAACCACATCCACATTTGGGGGTAGCTCATATCTTCCCAATTTGGTTTTGGTTCGGACCGTTCTTGCTAAATGGACCACTGGACTATAGAGGCGTGATGCTTCATTGATTATCATGGTTAACTGCAAGGAATCGAACAAATAGAAGATAAATAGATAAGAGAAAAAAATATCGTAAAATACATGTTTGTTTTTACTTACAGTTTTCAATCGGGCAATGCCATCCGATGTCGGTTTTTCCCGGGCAAAAACTTGAAACACCTCTTCCCTCGCCTTTTCTTGCCAGTCCGTGTAAACTGATAACAGAAAGGTAACCCAACACAACAAGCTGGTTGTCGTTTCGTGACCGGCTACATAGAATACCTTGCACTCGTCGACTATATCATCGACCGAGAATCTGCTTTCTGGATCATGGTCATTGTGAACTCTTACAAGCGATCCAAGAAAATCGCTGCCAAAATTCTCAGCTTGCCCTGTCCTCACACTGTCTTCCCTTTTCCTAACTAGTGAAAGGATCGAACTGCGTAGTGATTGCTCGATTTTGTCCGATTCAATCTCTTCTCTCGACCTCCATATTTTCCTTTGACATACATAGATATAAACAATAAAATTAAACAAGTTCAACAAAATCAAGCTAGGTAGTTATTGTAAAGGATATAGTAAATCAAATTAATACAAACTTTTGGTGTTCCTTGTAACTATATCACTAACAGAAACTCAACAACGAGACTGTATAAAGCTTAGGCAGGTCAACCTATCATACTTTACTTAATATTGAAATCATTAACGAACGATACAGTTCAACTTGTTATACTTTACTTAAAAAAATAAAGATCAACAACACAGGCGTATCGTAATAATGTAATTATCAATATATGCGTACTCGATCCCCGGTATTCTAGTCTTGAAAGCAGTTTTGTAGACCAATACACTCAGTTCCCCCAACTTCTCGAATATAGTTTTCCCTTCAACGTAGCTGCTTCCGAAAGCTGTCCTCGAGATCACATCTGAGGTTAATAGCCTGAACTCGTTGCTTATATCAATTGTGTTGTCTTCATCGTTCGCCCATTTTCCGAGCATAGACTCCACACTCGCTACCATTGCCGGAACCATGTCCTTTACAGAGTAAATTGGACAATGATTTATTCATATGCATGCAAAATTGCAAATTTAGCTCTTTGATAAACTCTCCAAAAAGATAATAAAAAATTGACCTTTAAGCTGTCTCCATGAAAAGCATAGTTGGATAGTTTTCTCAACCTGGTCCATTTTTCACCTTCAGCCAAGATAAGCCCATCTCCAAAGAGTTTTCTTACTGGGCTTGCAGGTCTTGGTTTTTGGTGGGCCACATCCTTATTGCTAAGGACTTCCTTGACCAATTCAGGCTCAGTAATGAATATTTGAGGCTGCCTACCAATCCAAATCAGGAAATTGTTCCCTGTTAATTACCACCCAAAAAAAAAAAAAAA